TCGCGGCCGCGAGGGGAGAACCGTCAACGGATCTGAAGGCGCACCGCAGGACGCAAAGGACTTCCGGATCGAGGCCAAGAAGAAGATTCAGCTTGCGGCGCAGGGGGCCGCCACCCCTCTCGACGAGGTTGCCATCGTTTTCGACGCTTCTGCGCCTGTGGCTGAGATGAAACACGAGGATCCCAAGAGCGCTGAGTTGCTGAGTGGGGTTTCTCGGTATGAGGAGACGTCCGCGCCTGCTGCTGGTGTGGACAAGGAGTTGGCGGCGGGTTCGAAGGCTGAGTCGGCTTCTGCTTCTACGACGGCACAAGAAGCCTCCGGGAGTGTAGAGAAAGAGGAGAAGCCTTCATCGGGCGACTCAAAGTTATGATCTTCCACCGACGATGCCTACTCCTAACCTCCCTTGGTCATTACGATACACGGCCACAGCCGCACCTTAGATAGCGGCCAAGTCTTCTATATCTCGCTTATACCCACATCGCGGATTCGCGTTGGTTTCACTCTATGCCTCTGTCCCCAAGTGGTACATAATATCTGCATTTCGTCCCTGCTTTCATTTGTTCATTCACGTGTGTGTGATGACTACTTGTTGACGATCTTTAATTCTTAGACGTGTAAGGAAGATGTCTTGCGTTTCGATTTTAAGAGAAGAAACACAGGTAAAAAAGGCCATCGATAGGGAATCGAACAAAAGGTCAGGTTGACAGTGGCTCGAGGACTTCCAAGTTAGTACAAAGACTCCCCCATCATACCTCTCGGCCACCTTTCCCCGACCTTTTATGAATGGACTGGAGTTTTTCAGACCTAAGTACCTCTCACCCCATCCCAAGAAGTATTGACGACCTTCGAAGACCTTCAGATGAAAGAGCGGAGCATCATCCAGCTTGGGCCAGCAAGTAATACACAACGGCCGGTCGAAATGAGTCACGAATTAGTATTCAACTACTTGTAGGTTATTGTTGGAGGCTTGATCATGTCCGATTGAATATCCTCGTCCTGGCGAAGCTCCCACAAAGTCTTCTCATGGCCTGAGCCAACACCCCTTCCAAACTGATATACCATCCTATTCATTCTGACGCAATACCAATTCCCAGAAACACCACAAAGCCCCCTAGCAACAAATCCAACGAGTACGAAACTTCCCATCACGTCTCGATGTCCTCCATCGGCACCTCCTCCGACTTCTTCAAACACGGCGTCTCGTCCCACATCCCGCTATAGCACCGGAACCACCCATGCCCGCACCGCTGGTGAACAATCTTAGGCAGGAGCCGTAGGCACCGGATGTCCTGATGCGAGAAGAGGAAGTGCCCGCGCTTCGTCTCGTAGTCGAGGCAGATGGATATCAGGAGCCTTCGGGAGTGCGCGTTGCGGCAGCCCTGATTGGCGTTGATGGACTGCCGGCCGCCATTGAAGTGAAAGAAGCTGTCTTGGCGTTCGCAGGAGGCTGGGTCCCAGGAGCGGCAGCGGGTTTGGACTACGATGTAGTCGGCGGCGCAGGTTGTAAGGGTAAGGGCGAGGATGAAGGCTAGGGTGAGGCGCATTGTGGTGGTTACTGTCTTCCGTGCTTCACGGTTTCTGCTCTGCTAGGTAAGATGGAGGGCAATGCCCTTATCTATCTTTTACCAGTCTGTTAGGTTTCAATGTGTGCAATTTGTTGGAGATCGGGGTACTTTTGTTACTTCAGTGTGTGTTTGAGATGGAATTGTCTTATAGACGGCAAAATTTGGTCGACGATGCGACATCCGGGGGAGACGCAGTGTTGCTCCAAGAAGTCTCCATGGGTCTTTGCAGCATGTCTGGAGTGTCTCCAGAAAGTGCTTATATACTGTCCCACCTTGTTGACCCGTTGGGTACTTTTATTTGACGTCGAGAGGTGTGAGTTTGGTGTGGCATACGATTTCAACGCCTCGAACCGTTATGGTCTGAGAGTAGATTATGGCGGCGTCAAATCGGGCAACGAGGGCGCCAAAACTTTTCTCACATCATGTGCCTCTGACAAAACGGTCAAGGCCAACGAGTATCTTTTGTCGAAAGTTAGGTTCATGATCACTTTATCCTTCCACTGCTAAGAAGGTTGATGTTGCAAGCACTGATCTGGGCCGGGATCAAACTTGAGGCAAGTATCCTACTATTCAACGCTGATGTGTTGCTGATGGTCTAATGCTATAACAAAGGATCGAAGGAGACAATGTATGAGTGATGAACAATGCTGTAATGAAAGAGAAAAAAACAAGCTATCTAGTTGTTTGAGGATGTAGCACCAGGGAGCACCCTAACCTCAGCCCCCCGCGTCTTCAATGACTCCATCATCGGAAACTAGAAATCTTTTCCATCGCCCGCGAGAGCAGCACCGACCCGCCAGCCCCATTTTCCTGGCGTAGAATGCGCGCTACCATGAAAGCAGTCACAGCAGCGACAGGAATCGTAGCGATGACGCTCGCCCTGCTCAGAGTCATGGCCTTCTCCTCCACGGTCTTCTCGTCGCTGTAGAGCCACTCATGGCCCGAAGAAGGCGGCTTCACACCCTTCAAACTCAGGCCGCCGACAATTTGGTCGCTGTAGAAGTTGAGCCACCTGGCGAGCGGGAGGAGGGGCGCAACGTATTGTTGCACCAAGCGGCCCTTCCAGGTATCCCAAGCAGACATGCGCATGGCTTCTTGGCACTGCTCGACCATTAATGCCAACCTCTCCACGCGCTGCTCTTCAACAGTCACAAACGCAGTTTCAAGACTGGACAACTTCCAGCTTGCCGCAGCAGAGACACCCTTGCCGATAATGTTCTGTTCCTGGAGGGCGTTAACCAGCGAGGCGCAGGACTCGATACAGCTGTTGCCACCCTGCCCCACGAGCGGATTGAACTTGTGTGCCGCGTCGCCGAGGATGACGATACGTCCGTAGTGCCACCGTCGCATCACAAAGTGCGGGAGGGCCGTGACGCCGCTGTACTCGAGGTTCTTCAAAACCTCACGGAACCGCAAGCCGTTGTCGGCGACAAGGGTGTCGACGCTGCGGCCGAACTCGCGCTTCTTGTCTTCTTCCGTGAACCGCGGGATCTCGTCGATCGGGTACGAGCGTTGGTCCTCGGGCAGCGTCCAGAACCAAAAGACAAAGACCTCGCCGCTGGGGCCGCCCATACAGCCGGCCACTGTGCCGTGGCCGCTGGCGCCGACGACCTGGCCGGGGCCCACGCCGGCCGTGGGCTTGGCGGTGCCGAAGATGCAGGCGTGCTCACAGGGGATGTTTTGTCTGTCGCGGGCCGGAATGGCGCTGGAGTCGTTGTTGTCGTCCGCGTTCCTCCACATTTCCTGTCTGATTGTGCTGCGGACGCCGTCTGCGCCGACCACCATTTGCCCTTCAAAGACGGAGCCGTCTTTGGTGTAGACCAAGGCGCTGTCCTTGAGACTCTCTACTCTCTTGACTTTTTGGTTGACAAAGATTCTGCTCTTATCCTTCAAGTGCTCGTACAACACGTTCAAAAGCTCGAAACGCTCCATGAAGATGTTCGGGTAGCCGTGTCGTTTAGTGATGAGGCTCCTCGACTTGCGGGTCATGATGCGCTTGCCGGTGATGCTGTTTCTTACAATATGCTCCTCAACGGGCTGACCTCTGGCGAGAATGTCATCGTAGCATCCGAGTTGATCGAGGATTCGAAGGCCGTTGGGGAACAAGCCGATACTAGCTCCGACGTTGGGAGTTACCGTGCCGTAAGCCTCGAGAAGTACATAGTCGACTCCGAGATCCTGTAGCATCAACGCCATCGTCAGGCCCGTGATGCCACCGCCGACGATGATGACCTGGCGCTTCTCATCTTGGATCGCCATGGTTATGATATGGAGGAAACTCGACACTTTGTTGTAGGTGTTAGGAAAGATATACTTGGTATTCGATGCTGCTGATGACCAGAATAAAGCTCCCGATACCGAACGAGTGGAGGGAAATGAAGCTCTTATATATCAGGACATCTCCCAAGCTGAGATCTGCGACATAATGCTGAGCCGAACTTTAGAGCTGTGCAGTCCGTCGTTTTACCGCAAGAATCCAGAAGGGTATCATTGAAGCGGGAAGCTCACGGGCCCCGGAGATGAATCTTCCCTGGGCTTGCAAGCCGGCGGGTTGATGCCACGCAGCTAGGCCCACCAGGCGCTTACAATAAACTCCATAGTAGCCACCGAGTTCGCCACAGATTGGTTCGTGACATCGACGTTATCTGATTCATGTAGCGGGGATAGCAGCACAGGACACCATGGGCTGTTTTATCACCAGTTCCACTTGTTTCGACAAAAGCCAGCCCGCAATTTGGCGCATCCGGATACAACCCACCTCAAGGACGCAGGACTGTAGACTGCGAAATGCGGCATACCGGCGATATCGCCATGGAATGCGTGGTCCTCAACTCTGGCGGCCGAGCTTTTCATCATCGGGCACTGAGACACCCCATATGTTATAGTTCAAGGGCCGTCTGTGGTCCGCTGTCAACCTATCTTTCGACTCCTCCATCTCTGAAGGATGTGGGTTTCCCCCGTGTGAAGCGGGATATATCCGCGATCAAGGCAGGGTTGACGTTTCCCCTGAGATGCGGGTCTTTCAGACTTCGACCGTGCATCTTTGCCTCGGACTAAGCGTTCTAGATAAAAATCCGAAAAGCAATTGAAAGTCTCCGAGGACAAGCGCATTCCCACTTTGAAGAGTCTTCTGGCAGTTATCCTTCTGTCACTTACATAGAGATAGTTCACATAACAAGCCGATGTCAGGAGTCGCGTAGCACTTCTTCAGCCAATATTATAAACCATTTAAGTGCCTCGTTCCGACAGAGACTCAGGAAACCTCACCTAATCCTTGAGACAACTACAACTTCGACCCGAATAATGGGAGAAAAGCTGCCTCGTTATCACATGAGATGGCACTGACGAAACTTTAAGCAATGCTTATGTGTAGATACGACCGAGTCTTGAGGAAGTATTAACGTGGCTTCAAACTTTCGTGCTTTTATTTATTAGTCAACAACTCCGTAGGCCAATCCTCACAGGGAATCCATCTGCCGGATGTGCCCCGCCCCCGCCCTTTACTGCTTGATACGCCCTATTACCTTTGACGCTACGAATACCGGATTTAGGATGAAGCTTATCCCAGTCTTCGTACGCAGGCTTGATGACAAACTCTCTCACAGTCATGACCAGCGCGATTCTCAACTCGAGCATCGCCAACGTCTGCCCGATGCAGTTCCGTGGACCCCACTCAAATGGCCGCCAGGCGCCCTTATGGGGATATAATGGGTCTTCCGGGCCAACGAGCCAACGCTCAGGAATGCAAGCATCAGGATCTTTCCAGTACTTGGGGTTGTGATGTATAGCCTGCACAAGAGTCCAGACGTTGCAACCTTCTGTGGGGAGTACGCGGCCGTCCGCGTCGATTATCTGGACGTTGGAACGTCCTTGACGCATAGCACCGGCCGGGGCAAATATGCGTAGAACCTCTTTGATGAACGCCACGGTGTAGGGTATCATGTTAAGAAGTTGAGGGTCCTTATGAATTTTATCCTGAACCTGTGATGGGTCTGTTCCAAAGACTTCGTTATGTTCGGCTATGGTGCGAGATATGATCTCCGGGTTCTGGGAGAAGAGATAATAGCAGTACAACAGGGTGCTGCTAGTCGTATCATGACCTGCAAACAGGAAAAGTCGTACCTGGGGTGTGATGATATGTTTGATCTGCTGCGTGGTGTCCGGGTTCTCTCTCTTGCCTAGATTTTCCTCTCCCAATTCCTTAAGATAATCATCGATGAAAAGCGAAGCTATCGACTTCGAGCGCGTTGTGTCGTTTGAGTTGGACAGATTTGCAGAACGCTCCGCAAGTCTCTTATCGACCTCCGCAGATAGATACCGATCCAACTTCTTCCCGTTGAGCCAGAGAACGAGCGGACGGATTGTGAAATATCTTTCTAAAGGGTTCAGCGGCTCGCGGAAGGAAGTCCATTCTATCTGCTTTCGAAGAGCAGCTGCTAAAGGGTGATCCCGCGTCTGATGACCAAGTCGAGTATCTCTGTCACCGCATAAGTAAGCATGCTGCATAGAGTTTCCTACCTAACCTCGGATGAAAGGTCACGATACTTACAGCACAACAGACCCGATTATATCGAAGGTCATCTTCAGGGTCAGATCCTCGAGTAAGAACACTTCGCTCTGTCCTGTTGTGCATTTGGCCAGAAGTTTCTGGCGAAAAATGCCCACTTCATCTGCGATGACAGACGTCAAGCCCATCATGTACCCAGCACTGAAACCCGGATTGAACAAGCGTCGCCAGTGCTTCCATTCATCTCCTTTCATGGTCAACAGGCTCTTTCCACCAGTGACCTTCTCAATGGGGTCAATTATGTCGAGCCCTTTACCGAGAGCCAGGCTATCGAGCTGCGACGCCGCGTCAGCGTCTGCGAGAACCATCATGGTGCCGCTAAAAGGCCAAAGACTCAAGTAGAAGATGCCATTGGAATAGTCTTCTGATATCTTCCACATGATGTTGTGGATGATACTGTCTGAAGGTAAAGTTCCCATGATCTGTTTTATGAGTGGGAAGTGCCCGCCTAGGGAAGAGTAATACGGCATTGGCTACAGCGATTATTAACACAACTGATATCTGGACGAAGCTGGGTTTTCCTACCAATCCTGCTCGCTGCATTCGCCATATCGTCTGACGCGCAGCATAAAACTTCACACAGAAGTAGACGAGCGCCGCGACGCATGTTGTGATTGCCATGGACCAGGGTCCCCCGGCCATGTCCAATGCTGACACCATTGTATTAAGTTCTGACGACCAGCTGAGATGCTGGCGATAAAGCTGATAAAGCTATACTTCTTGCATGGGCCGGAGCGCAGGCGGGAAGAAGTCGTCCATCCCTTTAGGAAGAGATTCTGTCGACGGTTTACGAGGTCTCACTACTTGAGGCTGAATATGGAAGAGGTTGGGCTTTTTTTTGTTTGCGGAACATGAGGTCAGACAACCCATGGTGATGTTGAACTTTGATGTCAGCAGAACGCCCTTTCGGGGAAAGCGTCCCCGCTAATAACATAAGTTTGAAAAGCAACATCTCCATATCCCCATGTGGGAAGATGTCAACCGTCTCGCGATGCAAATAACGAGGTAGGCATCATCATGTAATTTTAAGTCCTTATGCCCGACTTTTGATTGCTGACATTAATGAGGTAAACATCCTATTTGAGGAACTATCACTGGTTTGCTACCAATCATATCCGTGTTGTAGTTTCAGTTCAATGTAGTAAACTTATCTGTCCTTACAAAAACTCTCGCAGACTCTGATCTGCACCGGCAAAGTCTTCGAAAACATGCCAGTGACCCACGTTTGGTAACACAACCTTGCGAGAACCATTGATTTTCTGCACGTAGTCTTCAACTACCGCTGGTGAAGATACCGGATCATCTTGTCCCGTAATCAGCAGGGTTTCCGCATCAAGCTCTTCGAGGCCAAGGACACCAGCCGAAGCAAAAGCCGAACATGCCTTGGCGTAGGCCTCTGGATCTTGACCCGCGAGACTGAGTCGTACAGCAGCCACTGCCAAGGGGTTGGTCTTCTTGGTATGACCTGACACTTGGGTCGCGACTACATCCTCGATAATCTTGGACAAGCCCTGAGTTCTCGCGAGAGACGCAAAATTGATCAACTGATCCTTGATCGAGGAATGGAGAGGCAAGGGGGGTGGCCCGAACAAGATCAGTCTTTGGACATGTCCAGGATGGGCGAGGGCGTAACTGATGGCGATCAAGCACCCGTGAGAGTGGGCGATCAGAGTTGCAGGGGATGTGCCTGAGTCCGCCTCAGCTAGACTGAAGACTCCCGAAAGATCTTGAGTAAGTGAATCGACGGTGATGGTCTCCAGAGGGTGTGTCGGTGTATGGCCATGCCCTGCGAAATCATACACGTGTACCGAGGCGGAGTCCCCGAGTTCCAGAGAAGTTATCAACGGCAGCCAGTAGTCTTTGGTGCCTCCAAGACCATGGACGAGAATGATGGGGTCTTTTCCAACACCAAGTCGCTGGTAACCTGCCCCGAAGCGACCAATACTCCTGTTGAGGCCAAATTGGGCTTGCTTTGACTTCTCGCTGTTATCGAGGCGAAACAGATCCATCGATCGCTCCAGAATCTTCTGTTCAGTGGGATTGATCTGCGAGTGGTCGGCGACTCTGTTTCTCAGAGTACCGAGGCCGGCGATAGTGACGGCGAGTTCATCACCGGGTTTCAAGAAGACCGGAGGGGCTTTGCCAATGCCAACACCAGCAGGCTTCAACCATATGTTGTTAGTAACATTCAACCAATACATCACAGGTCCGATAGATGAGACTTACGGTGCCCGTAGCGATGACATCACCCGGCTGGAGCGTCTGGCCCGCAGACAGCGTTCTGATAAGATGAGGGATGGAGAAGATTAGGTCTTTGGCTGTGGCATCTTGTCGAAGTTCTCCATTGACATGAGTCCGCAAACGCAAAGACCGCCCCCAGTCCGGTAAGTCCTCCTTTCGTACAGCACTGGGGCCCTGACCAAAGGGCATCAGCCTGTATTTAGAGTTGAGAGGTGGTCAGAATACATACCATTGGGCAGAAAGTATCTGCGGATTTGCCGATGTAGAACTGCTTGTGGTCTCTTTGCCGTTCCCTGGCAGTAACGTCGTTGATGATGGTATACCCCCATACGTGATTCCAAGCCTCATCTTCTTGGATTTTGTACCCTGGTTTACTGATGATCACGCCAATTTCACCTTCATAATCAGCGCTCTCGGTGAATCCCTTGTGAATATGCAGTTCCTCTCCATTCGCTATGATTGAAGTGGCACGCTTCGTGAAAATCACAGGATGGCTTGGCAAGTCCACCTTATCAGAGCTATCGTAACCCGAGCTGTTGAACTCCTTCGCATGCTCGATGTAGTTTTTGCCAACTGCGAGGATATCTCTCCCTGAGATAGGAGGCAGAAGCTTCACATCATGAACGTGTAAGACTGGACCAGCAGCTAAGTATGTGTGTTCGCCCGCCACAATAACCTGATACAAGTTCTCAACAGCTTTCCCGGAGTTGAAGCTGAGGGGTTGAATGTTTTGCGATTCTGTGTCGAGGTGTCCAATTCCGGGGCAATTTTCACCTCGCTGTTGGAAAGCAACAAAGCTGATTGGGTGTTTGATAGTCTTCGGCATGACTGCTGTTTCCGTCGTTCTAGAACTCTGTCAAAGTTTCTCCAAGGGTGCGAAGCAGCAACTCGGATTTGTCGCAATGCGGACGTGTTGCAACAAGATAAGGGCACAAGTCGATGATACCATATCCCACGAATCTTGTCATGTCCTGTGACCCACCTCCCAGCAACTCTAGCCCCACTGTTGAGGGATTGAAGAGTATTATTCAACATCCCACCATAAAGGTTAGGGGAGTCCGATGAATGGATTTGACAGCTTTACTACCGCCATCAGTAATTCTTTTGATCTCAAATTTCGGCTTCAGCGCAGTTTCTGGGTCTTTCTTTCTTAAGGCGCATCAACTCTTCGACTTCGGGTCTAACTTCAAGTCTACGTAAGAACAAATGTCAAGTTTGTCTTCGTCTTAGGGATTGGGTCTCGATCTCATGACATGTTATTCTATCGAATTTTGCAAGGTATTTGAAATAAGCCTGGTAATGAACTTAAAGTCTCTCAATACCCAGATATATTTAGAGGCTGAGCCTTGAACTGACCATGTACGGTGCAAACAATCAACACAAGGCCGAAGTGGAGACATGAGGTCAGTTCTTGTTCCCGTCTTTCAGATGACTTGAGAGGGTAAGTTACTGTGTTGTGTTATCGAGATTTCAAGGCCTATTTGCCAATTATTAGCTGCATTCTCAAGTTTCATTGATTGCTTATGTCGATCGCGGTGTCTATCCTCGGCATCCAAAGTGGACTCCCGGCATCTGAGTCGGCGTCTGGCATCGGTGTTCGCTGCAGTGACCTGTAAGTGCCCGATCGTCCGTTCGTTCTCCGTGACGGCCGATGACCTCGCGCTGCGCCGGACTTAAACAACCAAAGGTCCATGCGATGGTGTGTTAACGTGGGGTCAATGAATCCTGATTCTCCTTGAGAGTAAGCGCGATTTCGCTATTGATTTCGCTGCCAAACAAGTCAAAGCTACTGGCTTTCGTCACCAGGTATCTTTCGCCGTAACTACGAAATGCTTATAAATCTATATTCCTCGCCCACTTGAAACCCAGAGACATATCGAGGCATGTTTTGTACTCCTGATCAGCTTTTCGGCCTTTCGGGCTTCCGTTTCACACAACGATTCGAGCCTTGATCCGCCAATAGCACCGACGCAATCATGGAACAGAACAATTCATTCGTTCTCAAAGATGTCAGAATATTCACTGGACACGAAATAATTAACAAAGGCTATGTGTATGTCGAGCATGGCATTATCACCCAAGTTGGTGCTGGTGACTCTCCTGGAGATGCAAAGGATGGGTTGCCGATCATTTCACGGCCTGGTGTTCCTGGGTTGATCGATGCTCATATTCATGCACTCGGCGGAGACATCAACTGTATCGAGCAGTCCCTGCGTTTTGGTGTCACTACGGTTTGCGACATGCACAACGAGCCAAGCGATAACGCCAAACTCAGGCAGGTGAGTTCGGGACGCACTCCCCCTGGGAGGGGACTATTGGGATGGTCTGACTTTACAATAGCTGGCCAGCGTCTTGGCGAATAGGTCGATCTACGCAGACTTCAAATGTGCTGGTCTGGGCGCCGTCATTGAAGGCGGATGGCCTATCCCGGTGATCAGAAGAGTCTTCGCTGACAACCCATGCGGAGATCATATCGTTGACCAGATCGTGTCGACCTGGCCCATCTTGCATAAGCCGGAGGATGCGGAACCATTTGTGAAGCAGCAAGTCGAAGAAAACGGAGCATCTTACATCAAAATGTTCCACGAGATTGGCGACACTCTCGGCATGGAACTTCCGCGCCCTCCGATGGATATCCAGCAAGCCGTCGTCGCCGCCGCGCACAAGTATGGTGTGATCACCACAGGCCACGCCTTTAGCTATGCTGGTGCCATGGACCTTCTCCGCGCCGGAGCCGACGGGTTGAGCCACATGTTCCTTGACAGGCCACCTAGCGATGACTACATTCAGATCATGTTGAACAACAAAGCGCACTGCAATCCAACTCTTGGGCAGTGTGCTTCACAAACAGCAGAGGGCCAAGACTTCCAGAAATCATTCTTCAAGGACCCGTTCGCCCAAATTATGCTCATCCACAAGACAGCCGGAGAGCCAATGGGGATGGCCGCGAAGCAGAAGCCCACGTCCTCTGTGCTGAATGCATGTTCAAACACCAAGGCTTTATACGAAGCGGGCGTCCCTCTCATTCTAGGAACTGATGCCGCCGGTGGAGGTGTTGGTCTACCTTACGGTCTTGGGATGCACATGGAGATGCGTGTACTCATCAAAGAGGTTGGCATGTCCCCCTTGGATGTGCTCAAGTCCGCTACATCGATTACTGCAGAACGATTGAAATTTCGTGATCGTGGGAGGATTGAGAGCGGTAGAAAGGCAGATTTGGTATTGGTTGAGGGTGATGTCCTCAGTGCGTTGTCTCTGAGCAACGGGAGGTGCCTTCCCATCAAAGCAGTGTGGAGAGACGGCGTGCTCGCATCCAGCTTCGCCGTATGAAGGTCTCTCTCTGCTTTACGAATCCATGAGAAAGATATCGGTTTGGTGATTGTACTAGGGCATGGATCCTCCAAGTCATCTTCAGTATTGCAGGGGCTGTGAGTAACACAACAAACAATACATAGAAAGCGCAACCTTGTATAATATTTCTCAGATTCCAGATTGACAATTGAGTCTTGGCGTCATTAGTATCTTGTCTCTTGGTGTGGAAATGGCAATAGCGGCTATCGCCCGCAACCCGACCATCGTTGTAAGTTAAGCCAAGCCATCAGATGAAAGACTGATTTGCTGTGTTAAGCTAATCGCAGATGTGCCAAGTCTAATCTATCAACAACTCTGGATTTGGATTCTTAGTTTAGGTAGTCGAAAAGTCAGTAGCATGGGGTCCCTAAGGCGTGCGTAGTTAATCACAGGGCAATGTTCTCAGTCGCCTACTACAATACCATTACAATATATGGATGGGTGCATTATGTAGAGAGACACAACAGTATTGAATTTCTTGGCGTTGGTTTACGAGTTTCTAAGCTTCCCTAGCACTACAGCATCGTACTTAGCTGACCAGGCATGAAATCGAACATTGTGGGGCCTTCGGTATCCTGTGAAGGAAATTGTGCCACAGAATGATCAGCCTCTCGAGTTACTTAGTCCAGATCTCTGTCACCTTGTTACTGCTGCTGTCCGCGCTTGTATCGCCATAGACACTTATCTTATTCATTTCTTGATTGTTCTTCTGAAACATGACTCGAGAAGCTTAAGAAAGAGACAATCAGGAAACTCAAAATAATAGGAAAGGAAACGGTGGTAGCGGCAAAAGGACAGGGCACTAAAAGGGTGCCGCTAGGCGCCACAGGGGGCTGACGCGGTGGGCTCCATTTCGGCCTCCGCGGAAAGGGCTAGCCGTTCGCCAACAACTCATCGTGCCGACTTCACTCATATTCTACCCATCCTCCGGTAATCAACCCGATCCCATCAACACAAAGAGACGCTCATTTAATCTGAGCTGTAAGTTGGAGCCCTGGTTGGCCAAGACGAGATTGTAGCAGAGCCGTTGCAGTACCACTCATACCAATGCCATGCGGGCAGCTTGATCAGAGACGCGCTGGGCACCGCTGCGCGTCTTGCAAGAAGTTGCATGCAAAGGTTTGAGCCGCTTTTACAACTGTCCAAGTGAGCGAAACTAATTCTGGTCAGTGCAATGGTGGCCGCCCGTGTTCAAATTGCGTAGTTCGTGGCCTAAAGTGCGCCTCAACGGGACCATCGGCGGGCTTTCAGTTTGTCCAGCAGCAAGCCTCTTCAGTCCCTAGGGCTTTGGTACAAGACTCTTGGAAATACATCAGCACTTACTTCCAGTCGGTTGGATGCTTGACGCAAGCGTCTGTAATGCGAAGCGCCGATGTGACGGCACTCTCCCATCGAGACGAGAACGTCAGTCGCATGCTGTCAATCATGGGTGGTCTTTACGCCTGGCAAAACCCCCAAGTGTTGCGCGTAAGCCAGAAAGAAAGAAAGACACTCTTAGGTACATGGGTGAAACAAAAGGCTTTGATGGCGGCGGAATTGAAGAAGCCTGACCCATCGTCCTTCAGCTCAGTTTTACTCAGTACCCTCCTTTTAGCAGTGATCGAGGTGCGTATCCAGGTCTCTTTTCACGTGTTCATTAATTATAGGCTAATAATACAAAGCTAGTTCTTTGTGCCGAAGATGGCGCCTTCCAAAAATGGCTGCAAAGAATCTCGAGCTACATTGCACAACATCTGGAAGCAAAGAGTTACGCCGGCTTGACTACATTTGAGAGAAGTTTGATCCGCTTTTTCAATTTTCTCAACACGCTTTCCGCCATTGCCCTGAACGAAGAACCGTTGGACCGTCAGATGGACTTTGAGCTTTCATCGTCGCGCCCAATCGCACCTAGAACTATTTCAGACGAAGACGAAATAGACGATATGCTCTCATCCCTTAAGCAGTGGGCTAGACTACAGTCAAGGTAAGATCCTGAACTCATCATCGTCACAAGATGCGGTACTCACTGCGTTAGGATGGTCGAGTGGGCTCTCAAGTTGGAAAAGAGCACCATGACACTTCAATTTGATAAATATAGCTATCGGGAAGCCATAGACCTCAAGGTACAAGGCCTCGATATCATCTGTGAGGCATCGGCTCTTCAAGCTCGAGTCATCAACGATCTCCTCCGACTGTCAGAAGAACCCGATAGCCAGGTCTCTATCTGCATTACTCCTTACTATCATTGGACTCTCACTGGGCTGTCTCACCGCCTGTACCATGAAGCCTGGAAAACACTCAAGTGCGAGCTCCCGGTGTTGCCGGCCGAATCACTCCATCAGCAAGCACTAGTTACGCTTGGCTGCGTTGAGACGCTTGCCAGCCAATCAGGCTTTGATGTCGCACTGTATCTGCCTTTTGCCGACTTCATAGGACGAGAGATGGAAACGCCGACAGAGCAAACTCGTGTGCTTGCGTTCCTCGAAATTGTCAGATCTCGTGGCTTTGGACTGGCAAACGAATACAGGAAAGGCTTGCTAGAGACCTGGGGAGCTGCCACGCCAGCTGAAATGTCTCAAAACTTATTGATATATGATCCGAGCCGTGGAGGTCCCGAAACTTCGGGCAGAGACTGACAACAATACGACATCTAGACCTGAAAGGGTCACAGAAATCAGCCTTGTAACCCTCAAAATATGGCCATATTGGGTCAACATGCAGTTAAAATAAGACTCGAAGCAGCCGGATCAGCATTGGACAGACTACGAAATATGTGGAATTTGATGTCTCACAACCTTGGAAAGATGCCTACTGATTCTCACCAGCCCTCACTGTTCATTTATAGACGAGACTCACTCATTCTACACGAAGGCCAGAGTGGAATGTTACTTCTCATCGCACTCGCCATGTTTCTCTCCTCCTCCGGCCGACGGATCTCGAATTTATGGGTCTACGGACCCACCGGTGGTGTCTACCCGGAAAGAGCCCCATAATTAGCTAGCGCCGCGAGATTTTGTCCCAAAATGGCAAGATTGGCTAGGATGTCAAACGTCAGACTAAACCCATCACCGCTCTCTGGGGGTTCGATATGAGTCTGATTCACTCTAGCTTTTCTACCGTATTAATAATCACCAGAAAGTCTTTGTTAATGGTTGCTGAGGGGAATCTCTACCACGTTAACCGGACGGAGAAGATGTTGGCTAAGCGTTCCAAAGTCAGAACTTTTGTGCCCACGTCAGTGGCACGCCAAATGACACTTTTATCTTGTGGCAGAGTTGACTGGGACAAATCATGTCTGAAGGAGGTGTGCATAAGGTAACTGTTGGCGAGATCCCAATCAAAACCAGCGGATTGGCGGCTAGATTAGATAGCTCAGGCCTTGTCAGGCCATGGCAAGTTGCGACTAGGCACATGTAGGATGTGGGCCACGGCGGAATGCGTCTAAGCCACGTTCTGACGCGATGTGCGGACTCACTGCACCTGTGCGAGGCGGACTTGGTGTGTCGGACACCCTTTCTGCCCGATTCCTGCGGAACACCGGGGAGCTGGGTCATTGATGACTGAGTAGACTCTAGCTGCCGATTTTTCTAAATCCCGTCCCTTGGCATGAGGTGAGATTTATAAAACTTCCTACGCGCCGACTCGCCCCGGATTACGGAGCCGCCATCACCACCCTCAGTGCCCAACTCGTTTGTAATATTGTCATCAGCTTCACCCCGCCGGTGCATCGTTCAGAATGGCTGACTTACCCAACGGTCTCATCGCTTTCGGACCTGAAGCCAATTGCACACTCGACCTTTGTCCGATAGAATGGAGTATTCTTCGTTACCAGCCTTCTGTTCCCGCTAGCGGCACCTTCATTGGGTTCTTCTCTTTAGCCTTGGCTTTACACGCCCTTCTGGGGTTCAAGTGGAAAACTTGGGGGTTCACAGCAAGCATGATCAGTGGCTGTGTTTTGGAAATCGTTGGCTACGTTGGGAGACTCTTCATTCACGACAACCCATTTGACTTTAATGGGTTTCTCATGCAAATCAGTCAGTTTCTGCCCTCCTTAGGGAACTCTGCTTGAGTTGCCTGGTTCACGTGAATGATCTTAGAGCTAAAACCTTTCTTAGTTTGCATTACAATAGCTCCGGTCTTCTTCTCTGCCGCCATTTATGTTACACTTTCTCAGACGTAAGAGCTTCCAGAATATTCGTTGCCTAAGCTTTGGATACTGAGTAGGCCTTCCTTAAGCATCAACTTCCTCGATCGATCAATTTCCCGATTTCCACCTCGCCTCTACTACTGGACATTCATCCCGATAGACATTGTCTCCTTGATTCTCCAGGCTGTAGGAGGCGCGATGTCCTCCGTCAGCACGACGAAGGAGGCTGCGGACCGAGGCGTCAAAATTTCACTCGCTGGACTTGTGTTACAAGTTGTCTCGCTTGCGGCGTTCTGCGGACTTTTTGGAGACTACATGATCGCTTACAATCGATCGAAAACTCGTCCTCCGATGAGCAGGAGACTCGTGGTCTTCCTAACTTTCCTGAGCCTTGGTACCATGTTTGTACTGCTGCGTTGTGTCTATCGAATCGTGGAGCTGCATGAGGGCTACTTCAGTCACTGGTTCCGAGACGAAACACTGTTTATCGCGTTAGAGTCAGCGTAAGTGACCCCTTTCTATGTTTGACAAGAGTGAGTGCTGACATTGCCTAGCGTTATGGTTCTAGCAGTTTTTTCTTTGTTAGTCGGACACCCGGGACTTGTATTCAATAAGAAAGAGAGAGAAAGACTTGACGCAAACAATGCGCTCAATCCAAAGTCAAGCGAGGGCGGTGGTAGCAATGATAAACCCGAGAACAATGCGGTCACAGATGGGAGCGATACTTCAGTCAAAGATCCGGCGCCAGCAGCAGCTAGAGAGAAGTCAGCCTTGTCCGCAAGCGTCTAGAAGGCAATGTGTCACAAGTAGAAGTAATAGATGAGACAAAGAGATGGGCAGAACTTTGTTAGAGAAGAGACATATAGGATAGAAGTAATTGTCTTGCGACTACTGTATATATTAATGGCACCTGCTTGAGTATACTGCCTACACTTAGCACCAGATGCGACGTGTTTCTGAAAAGCTTGCCAGGTCACCAGTGATCAGCTTTCCCCTCCCCATGTCAATGTCAGTGTATCAATTTTCTTGCAACGCATGCACGGACGAGGGACAATCATCCGAACATAGTCATGTGTCGAGCCTTGAAAAAGATTATGGTTCCTCGGGCTCTCAGTCTGATGCCTAAAATCGGTCATTGTTAGCCTGAATCTAGGTAGAATCAGCTACTGATCTAAATCTGCCGACCCAACAAATCCTTTTGCCACAATGAATAATATTGTCCAGCAGAAAGAAGGTTAAGAATTTCAGAATTTCAGACGGTGTAGGTGCATTGAGTTCCATGCCACAATCCTGGAAGCTGTTCAATTATTAGGTCTGCTATCAATGACACATTATGTTCTTCAGAGGACCTTGACAAATTGTAATGCATTCACCGCTCAAAGCTTTCTTTGTTTATTCACTTTCGTTCCCCATGGTAGACGGGACTCAACTTGTGGTAGGTACTCCTGATATCAAAAAGAGCACCATTGTCTCTTCCGATCTCGCCGGATTGATTTCTAGGGGTATACACTCTTCTTTACCATTTTATGAGCAGTAGACATGATAGGAGCCCAGCTCAAAGTCTCGAGCTTTGCAAGGTACCAAACTGATCATATTGATTGCGCAGTTTTTGCAAATCTTGTTGCACTTTCCGCTGCTAAATTGGATTGCTCGACATGACTTTTGTATTGATTCTTAGCAGCTAGTACGTCTTCATACTTGTTTTTGCAAGATCCACGGCGATCGGTATGACTTGGTGGAGGTGTTAGCGATATCATGCCTCAATGTCGACTACCAAATCACTCACGTCTGCGCGTTCGAGCTCGCTGTGCCAGTCAGTGGTGCTAGGATCTGGTGGCTTTCGGCGCTGTACTTAAAGCCATTGATTGTGGTGCCATTGGGAATCTGTCCAGGAGGATAGGGTCTTCTTGATCCTAGCGGGTGAGCTGTGTTTTTGTATGTGGTGTTTGATGCCTTGGTTTCTGCGTGCGCATGCTTGTATGCAGTGTACTTTGTGTGAATCGTGTGATCTGGTATATATTCAATTTTATCGTCGAGACCGGAGTACTTCTTTGGAAGTTTTTTAACGACTTCGGGGTCTGGTATCAAGCTCATGGTCGGTCTGGACTATGATAGGGTGTAATGTGGCTGAAGCTCCGGTAGTCCATAGTCTTGCTGATAAACCGCGATCAGTGATTTGAGGTGGTAATTCTGCGGCGGACTGGTAATAGAAACAGAGATATTAAACATCCGAATGCGTGTTTCCTCAAAAGAAGGAGAGAGGACGCAAAAGCTGGTGACAAGTTTATGCAGCCACTCGCCATGAGGGTGAAAGGGAAGTCTTTGACTTGAGAGCTGGAGAAGGACCTGTTGCCATGACTTTCACCTCGATGAGAGGCGAAGACTAACAAACAGAGATACGGTAAAAGCATTGTAGTGAATGTGGCTGTTGGCAACGGTCTATTGCACGCTAACTGACAAACATCACTGTGATAACTGGTAAGTGAAAGATAACCTAGCTTTGGGGGTATCATTAGATGAAAACAGGTCTGTAGATTTTGTCGTGATCAAACACGTGACGGCTCGTAGACAAAAAATAGGGCGTTGTTCGCGTCTCAGCAGCTGGCGGTCGGTCTGGTGGTCGGTGAGGTGAATGCCGTCAAAGAAGTGAGCACCCGCCTACAGTGGGTACGAGACAAACTTCCTTCCCATCACTTCTTCACCCTTGCCGCCCACCCGAATTCCCTTTTACATCACTGAGTTTTGGAAATCCATTGGCCTTCTCTCTCTTTCCCGCTTTAAATCTTGCGTTTTTTTTCTTTCCGTTTTCGCTTTCCAGACAGAATCGCGGTCGCAGATCGTGGCCGACGTGAGAATGCCTTCGATTGCAGACATTCCTTGCGAGCTGGTGTCATCCATTCTGCGAAGCCTGGACGATTTTGAGACTCTTACCTCAGCTTTGCTCGCATGTCGCCATATTTATACCTCCTTCAAGCAGATCGCTGGCACTGAGTTGGCCATTCTTCGTCGGAAAATCGGGCTAGACCTACTCCCATATGCCGTCGCGTCTTTGGAAGCGTCAAGACTAAAGCCAAGCCCAGGTGACGATAGTTCCATCCGCGCCTTGCTCGACCTACTCTACGATAACCCTTCACAGTTGGTGGCCAGAACCGCTTCGATATCTTCAGAACTCTTGCGAAGCATGTCGCGCAAGCATGACTGGGTGACTACTCTAGCACTCAGTTATGCGGCAGAAGCTAAAATTCACCTCGCCTCTGACATCGCAGCATCACCAGAGGCCGTCGATCTGTCTCCTCCCGAGTACATCCGCTTCTGCCGCGCCTTCTATCGCGTCGACTTATTCTACCTCCTTTTCGGCGCGGTCGGAAACTTCAACGGACTGTCCGGAATGGGAAACTTGCTCTTCCACAGACATCCGCCGTGGGTGAACGAACAACTTGGCTGCGTACATGACTTCATTGAGGACAAGTTTCTTGAAGGTAAGTTGCTTGGGTACCACAATCTGTTCCGATCCATTCACCCATATATATTTGACCAGCTTCCATCGACGTCCTTGCCCACGATGTCACCTTCGGCGAATATGAGATCGACTATTTGACAACCGGCGGAGATAACATGATGATACAGTCATGGGTTAGTACTCTCTCCCAATCGTGAAACTGAATACGTTTCTAGTATGCGACTGTACTACTAATTAAATGTCATAAGGCTCTCTCACAAACTCAACTTCCTCCATCGTTTAATATTAAAAACGTCTCAAGAGTCTAAGCGAGTGCTACTTGAATAGGCAGTCAATGCCGGCACGACTAACCTTCCCGATGCGTTTGGGTGTATCATGGATGACCATGCTTACAACAACACCGACTTGGAAGACTTCAGTGCATCTGAGCTTGCGACGATAATTCCCGCCTGCGACAATGTTTGCAACACGGACAAGGGCCTTACGCGGGTTGGTATGCGGCTAACACTTTTGTGCCGCCGCCTTGCTGGGTCTACAGACCCGAGAACAATTGGCTGAGGAGACGTGCATACGTCTTTGGGATTGGGTCTACATTCGAGGGCCCGACGTTCTGAAGCTGTTTGCCATCGCCAGATGTGAAGACGATGGTCCTTCCGCTGAAGCATTGGAGGAGATGGAAAAATCCTTCAAGCAGAGATCCTTGATCTGGCAGACATCGACCATGACGTCTTGGAGCAAAGGATACACCAATCACAATCTTTAGCCAGGCCAGTAGCGGGATGCTCAATAGCATGTCGCAGGTTCTGATGGTTTACCAAGTATGTAGCAAGGCAAGAAACCATAGATCATGAACATGAAGTCCAAAAGATAGTCTCCTGTGTATCGCGCAGCTTCCGATCACATTTGGGTCGAAACGACAGCTTGGGAACTAGGAGATGAAATCGACATGTCGGAACTGGCCATGGTTCAGAGAGGTCTACACATCGGACGTGGGTCCGGACCTTCAAATTGGAATAAGCTTAGTCATGCACCAGTCCTCGGTGAATTGACCCCAACGTTCACCGAGACGAGAAGCTCCCCAAAAAAAGCCCACGAGCTACATGAAACAACGTCACCGGCTGGCCATTGCAGCCACATGTCTTCTCATATCAAGCTCTCGCGGCTAAATCTGCGGCCATTGAGCTCAAGATGCAGCGCGCAAGCTACGCGACAGCAGAGACGATCTCACCATGACTTCAATCACTTTGTGTGCCGGTCAGGTACGAGGCAGCTCACCCATCCCTCCTCGATTGTGCCAGAGCTAATAGGAAAGCCGCAGATGCCTCTGAAGCTACACTCCAATCGCCGAACAAATTCAAGTTAGCGGTAAAGGACAATATCGCGACCGAAGGGCTGCCGACAACATGCTCCTCCGCCATCCTCTCCTCCCACAAAAGCCCCTACGAGGCCACCATCGTGCGCCAGCTCCGGAAACGAGGTGCTCAAGTTGTAGGGAAGACAAACATGGATGAATTCGGCATGGGATCCCACTCGCTGAACTCGATCCACGGGCCTGTACTCAATTCGCTGTCTGCGACGCCGACCTCTGCTGGCGGAAGCTCAGGAGGCAGCGCTGTTGCGGTTCAGACTAGCGAAGCGGACGTCGCGCTCGGGACGGATACGGGCGGTTCAATTCGCCTTCCTGCGGCGTACTGCGGTGTGGTTGGATATAAGCCCTCCTATGGCATGCTGTCGAGGTTCGGGGTTGTTCCGTATGCGAACTCCTTGGATACCGTTGGTCTGCTTGCTAGGGATGTTGATGTTATCGAGGATTTAATGTTCAGCACGGGACTAGACGCGGAACATGACTCCCAGGACCCGACATCCTTGTCAAAGAGCTTCCGAAAGAAGCAGCAGAGTCAAGCGGCCACTGGTCGGTCACGGCTACGCATCGGCATTCCTCTAGAATACAATATCGAGGAATTGGATCCCAAGATCAAAGCAGCCTGGTCTGACGCAGCAGACCTTTTGCAGAAATCCGGCATAGAGGTGGTTCCGGTATCATTACCGTCCACAAAGCACGCTCTATCAGCATACTACGTCATCGCACCGGCAGAAGCATCTTCCAACCTCGCCAAGTACGACGGCGTCCGCTACGGCACCCGCGGCGACGAGAGCGATGGCGCTGGCGAGGTCCTCTACTCCAAGACTCGCGGTCTTGGCTTGGGCGAGGAAGTCAGACGCCGCATCCTCCTCGGCGCCTACAGCTTGAGCTCCGAGGCAATGGACAACTACTTTATCCAAGCCCAGCGGGTGCGCAAGCTCGTCCAGCGAGACTTTGACCGCGTCTTTAGGCTGGAGAACCCCCTCTACGACGAACAGCAGTTCGACTTGAGCGATATGAAGGATGAGGTCGAGCTTCAGGATAAACTCGGCCCTTCGCAGGTGGACTTCTTGTTGTGTCCTACTGCGCCGACGTTTGCACCGCGTATTGAGGATATCAAGCGGCAGACACCGGTGCAGGTATACATGAATGATGTCTTTACAGTGCCGGCCAGTCTCGCTGGGCTGCCGGCCATCAGCATCCCTACCAAGATCAAGTCGGAGGATGAAGAGGTGGACGGTAGCCAGCGTGTCGCGGGTCTCCAGCTGATCGGTCAGTACTGGGATGACAAGCGGTTGCTCAGCGTGGCCAAGAATCTCCTTAGCCAGTTACTTGCTTGATCATAAGTCAATCGCCAGAAGGCTGGCAAGCACTGTGTAAAAATACGCGTCGCCGTGTGAGAGGCGGCGCTCTGGAAAAGTGTACTGTACAGTAGAATACAAATGGAATATACCCTGGGGGATCAGCCCACCCACCCTTTCATCCGATACCTCAACGCCACGAGAGAAGCCCCTATAGGTCTACTCACTTCCATTCTCATCACCAGCACAGCAGGCGCCCTCTAGGTCGGGGGTCAGGTCAAACTGTGGCGTGGGTGGTGGAATGGTTAATGGTCACCAATTATTCACGCCAACCAGCCTACTCGACGACAGGCTTAGCGAGTACCCGAGTTCGAATCCCAGCATGAGCGCCAGAGATGTAGCCCCCAATTCAGCACCGGGGGGGTGAACTCTTTTGTCTTTTGCATCTCCAAATGATTAGTCGTTATTGTATCATACGTTGATGAGATAGAGGTTCCTCGAGCACTAAAGTCCATCTGCTTCACACATTCAAACCATGCTTTTGTCTATTTCGTGCTCTGCTCGGTAGGAGCGAGAGATTGGGTATCATTCTTCGCCATCGCCATTTACTCAAGGTGACCGGTTTCTGCTTCTAGACCTCGATCTTGACCTCGACCTTTCCACATCCATCGGCTCCCCAGCAGCGCTCCTATCCTCCGCCACCTCCCCTTCCGACTCGTCCGCCCCATTCGCTCCCGCATTCTCCTCCCCATTCTCTTCCTCATCATCCAGGAGCTCGTCAATATCGCCCAATGGACTAATCCTCTCCTCAAGCTCACCCAAATCCACCAAGTCAACCCTTTTAGGCAACTCCCTGAAACTCGTCGCGCACACCCTCGTCTTGGTCAACAAATCATCCACAAAGTCATCCATAAACGTCAAACTCGTTCCCGCCCTCCCCTTCCTCCTCAACTTCCTCCGATCTTCCAAAAACGGCTCTAGTAAAAGGTACACATCTTTCGCCTTCCTCGTCATGCGCACGTAGAAACACGCCAGCGCGCGCAGGTACTTGAACCTATCCCCGCCGAACCCCAGGTACGTCTCCAGCACCTCGTCCGACGGCGCGAGCTGCAACAGCTTGAAGGCGAGGCACAGGAACGGCGTGGGCTTCTGCGTGACGCCCGAGGTGCCGCCTATAAACGTGACGTGCTCCACGACGCGGTCGACAATGTCGGCCTCGTTGACGGCGAAGCACTGCTCTTTGTAGAAGTAAGAGTCGATGATGCGCTCGCGGACCGCCTTTTCCATGATTGTCGCCGGGTTCTCGCCGTTGGGGGCTAGGGAGGCCGAGGAGCCGCGTTCGTCGAGGAAGCGCCGCTCGTCGGCGTAGACGAGGTCGGGTTTGCTCATCTTTGCGATTTGTGTCCCTTTTCTTTTCGGTGAAAAGGGCAATACGGTGTCGTCGTCGAGGTTACGGTGTACGGCTTTGCGAATCGATTGTGATGCGGGAGGTGTCGATGGAGATTAGGATTGAGTGGAATTGAAAAGTCGCGATTTGTCGAGGGTAGCTCTTCGGGTAGTGGGGTGGGCAGTGATGCAACGGGAGCTTTCACGAGTGACGCAGGTTGGAAAAGTTGGGAGGTCGTTGCGGAACTGAAAAGGCGCTTATCGATTGTTGCCGTGCGAACCAAGTAAACAGCCCACTTCCAAGTTGACGCTCACGCCGCGCACCTCCAACGACTGCGACGCTGGCCAAGGGTGAAAAGCCGACGCCATCATCGAAGCTCTAAACCATCCTCAAATCATTCAGACCATCTATGAAAATCTACTTGAAGTGTTGAAAACATCAAAAACGACCATATATTCATCACAAAATTCCACAGTTTGCTGCCATGGTGCTCCTCACCTCGTCCCAAGTCTCCGTCCTCATCTCCTCAGCCATCGGTAACACCCGCCCTTCCCCCCGTTCCCGCATTCCAGTCCCGCACCCCCAAATCAAACAGAACAAACAGGCTAACCTCAGCAAATGCGTTCCTGCGCGCGAGGCGGCAAGCCGCGTTTGCGTGCAAACGCATTTTCCGTAAATCCAACAGTCGTCTCATGTACCGCGGCCCTCTTTCTTAGTGGCTACGTAATCCAGCAGCGCACGCTGAGCCAGCTGCGCCAGGCCATCAAACCCGAAACGCGACCCTCTCCAAAGGCGTCGTACTACGTGCCCGAGCATCTCAAGGACGCAGCAGGCAACGGGCAGAATGTGCCGCTCTACGGGGGCGCGAACGGGAAGCAGGAGCAGATCATCATCGAGGTGAACCCAACGGTGCCCGACAAGCAACAGCAGGAGCAGCCGCAGCAGCAATCAAAGAAACAAAAGGCCGGACAAAAAGCAGCGGGATGGACGTCCGACATGTGGCAAAAGATGATGGGGCCGTCGGAAAAGGAGGATAAGGGCGGAGTCAGCAGGGAGGACTTGGAGAAGATGGACGAGAGGGAGAGGAATATCAACGGGTGGAACGTCAAGGACCAAGCGAACCCGGACCCCGAAGCGTCGAACCAGAAGCCCATCAGCCGGGCCGAGAGACGGCGTTTGATCAAGGAAGAGCTGAGGCGGCTGTCGGAGAGCGAAGAGAGGGTGTACTACCAGCGACGATTATGGTAGACATGACGTTGGGATGGGATATATATGGGACATGAATTGCGGTTTCCATGAGTATACATATGGGAACTTTGGCGTTCTTGAGTTTTTTTGGAGATTGATTATGAGGGATGTTAACGAATTCGATATATATAGGTCGATTATGAATACTCATGTAGATAGGAGACGTCGCATCGGAGCAAACGAAACTAAAAGACGTTGCTGGACCCGATCAATATGAGCGTTTATATTGATGTGCCGAGAGGACTACTTAAAACCCACATACCAAACGATCATTTTCGTCAAAGCCAACCCCACCACGGCCCGCGAGCCGGATTCATGCCTTCGTCAGCGTTGTTGAATCATCATGTCTCTCCCAATGTACCCTGAACGCCAAACCCCAAAGTAATGCGATTTCAAACGCAGCCAACGCCTATTCTTTTTCTTCATGCCGACGTAGCTTAAGCGTGGCGGTTGGCGGCATCTTCAAACGCCTCTCTCTGCATTCTCTCCAGCTCCTCAAGGGGAATCTGGCTGTTTTGGAACTTGTTTGCCTTCTTTTCACGGCCCTGTATAGGTTGTCAATGACCAAATGTTCTTGTGTGTGTGTGATTGCGTGCTGGGTGGCCCAAGGTCTCGACATACCTTTTGCACTTCCTTGTGCTCTGCGGCGGCCTCTAGCACGGCCGGGACGTAGTCTGCGAAACCCAGTTGCTCGAGGGCCTTGGTGATGTGGTCGCACGCGATGGTCTTCTTTGCCTCCTTCTCTGAGATCTCGTTGGCTTCCGAGGAGATGAGGGTGATGAACTCGACGCAGCACTCAATAAGCAGGTCGCGAGCCTCCTTGGCAAAGGCAACGCCAGCTGAGGGCGGCAGAATCTCGGTGACGATCTTTTGGACGGTGGCTGTGAGGCATATTAGCTTGAAATTCTCCGACGAGGTGGGGAGCAAGAGATGCACCACGAGAGCGAGCATCTCTTGGGGGTGGAGTCACGTACCCTTGGGCAAGGACAAGTCATCGTTGCCTAGTAAAGTCATGTCAGCATTTCAGGTTCAAGAATCAGGCTGAGCGAACCCCGAAAGATACCCAAGCAGTATATACGCCCGTAAGTGTCCCTCACACTGAGCGGCATGTTGGTTGTGAGGAAGTGCAATGAGACCGTCGCATGATACAGACAAAGCTGCGTCATGCAACGTCATTTACATGGACCATCGGTAGGATTGGGGTGCTCTTGCAGACAATGCGCATGTCGCTTTGTAGGCCCGGCAGTGAGGACCAGGCAGGCATAAGGGCGGAGCAAAGTAGAAGCCTCATGAAGAGCGCCCGAGTGCGAAAGGAAAGGATGAATTTCACTTACCCGCAATATCGTGGTCAGACATGGTTGTGGTATGAGACGACAGTGTCGATGAAACTGGAAAAGTTGGCTAGATTGAGAAACGTGGTCGATTTTGTTTGCTTTTCAACAAGTATTAGGCTTTGGCCTTGGCAGAGATGAGAGACTGCAGGAAAGAGTCGTGATATTCTTGTGTCGACCGTTGACTTATACGGAAACTGGTAGTTGGTTGTGAAGAAGACGCGGTGACGGGGTGGACATGCAATTTGATTAGGTAGGCTAATCGCCGACTTTGTAGGTCTGGCTCACTCAGTCTCCGGCCGTGTGTTTGGTGGGGTCTTTTATGCTCCTTGGGATGCGGGACATCGAGTGCATTTGAACCCCCCGCGCACCTTGAGGAAGCAGGGGCCACTGAGCCACAGAGTGAAGGCTCAGTCACTGCCTGGTCCCGCCTTGGTGGGGCGCACTTTTTACACCAAGTCAAATTCCATTCAGGGACGGGACAGCGGTGCGCCGGTGAAAGATACCTCCGTGGCTCCGTGATGCACGGACCAACAGACCCCAATCACTCCAAATTTTTTCTTAGCCTTAAAAGACGAGATATTCTGCGATGGTTCAGCCTCTTCTTCTTTTTCGCATCAGCAAACAGCAGAGCTCAGAAAACAGCCATGCGTTCTTATTTCAGAGCAGGCGGCGACTCTGCTGATTGCTTGGATTGAACTTGGTAGGTCTTCCCCCTTCCCTCTTTCCCGCCCTCCCCTCGATATGATGAGTCTTGTTGTCGCCCCAAACTTACGAGGAATAACTCCCCTCATAGTGGTGAATGACCTTCCTGCCAAACGGAAACGCCTGATCTGTCACCATGAATCATTCTTTCTCTGCAGTTCTAGCCTTTAGATCGCATTGCTAACAATGATTTCAGGAAGTGCAAGCGCTTACTACCAATTCAATCGATTCACTGCTATGGCCGAATGAGCCAGCAACAATGGACAACTCTAGATACTGAACAGCCGAGTCGCACGGCTTGAGAACCTGGGTGCCAGACCATGTCTGCTATTGTGTCGGTTATTGCGGGCTTTGCTCACCATATCATG